GATCATTGAAACAGTCTTTATTGCTTTACAACAGGGCTATAGTCTATATTTATTACTCATAGAGAATCCCATGAATAATAGTCATTTGTTTAGAATTACTAAACCAATAGCTATTCAGAGAAAATAAAAATCCAGTCTACTAGTGGTACTTTTCGCTGAGATAATAGCCTACAATTTATGCTCAATGCATACTTTAGTTGAAGGTCGATACCACTAAAGGACATGTACAGATCGAGATGTGTAGCTGGTGCAACCAAAATATTGCAAAAGCATCGCTATATCCTACATTGGACGATACATCAAGATACGAATTTCTAAGTTTTCGATGGTTAACTAGCCTGAGATTAATGAAGTTAACATAGATAATTGCTATTCTATACGGTAATACACGCATTTACGTCGTCCATCATCAAGTGATATTGTAATCTATGGCGTATAAAAATGCAGTATTTTGCTTAAGATTTGTATGGTGGTGGGCAAAATTGAGTGTTGGAGTTGGACGAAAGCCCTAACTTTTCGATGACACCGGGTGCAGCTTCTCCTTGGAGAATGATGTAATGTGTTCGTTCCAACTGCATACGGCGATATCTCAACCAAGTAATCATAGCAGCAAAGGCGAGTATGAGGAAACCAATGGAAGCCCTAGTAGAGGGATAGAATAGCGTTCATTTGTAACAGCAAGAAGTCTTTACGGATTAGTAAGAGCTAGCTTCACATAATTAATAGATAAATCAAACTATGCCACAGAAAGATAAAGGAAAATGAAACTATCTGCCATGTTTAAGTATTCAATAATTAATTGGATAACATCAGGGGGTCACTTCACATACACCGACTCCATTGGCTGACCAGCATTGATGTTTAATTAATTTACAACTTACCAGAAATACCAGACTTTATAGAAGGCGAAGCAGCAGCTGGTTCCACCACAGCAATATTCTTGCATCAAACATTGGCTATAGTAGGTATGAAAAGTTCGATCAGCACTCACAATAGCTTTATTTATTAATCGACTGTCAACAAGTTGTAGCCAACGCATGCTAATAGGAATTCTGTATTAGTATTCAACGCACCCGTTCTTTAACGGGATACTGATATGAATTATTTTTGGAAAAGATCGTTACATCCTTACCATGCTCTAACATCGAATCATTTCAAATGTACAGTACTGCAATCATTTTGTAGGACACTAATACATGTTTCAACATCGAATCATTTCAAAGGTACGTGCATTACTGCGGTCATTTAATTTCTAGGACACTAATACATACTGTAACATGCAATCATTTCAGGTATACAGTACTGCCGCCATTTTAGAGGAGACTAATAGTAATGCATGCTCTAACATATAATTATTTAAAATGTACAGTACTACAGCCATGTTGTAGGGCACTAACACAGTACTGAGGTCGAACACAGTGATAGTGATATAAGTACTACAAGCGTTGTCTGTCAGCCTGTCATGTGAAAACTAGACTAATTAACATAAGTCAAATATCATGAATCTAATTGGGAAAGATGAATACACTAAACATGTCAAGTTT